TATAGGGTCGGAAATGTCTCCTTCACTGCGTTGCAAACTTTTGACTGAAATTATAATACCCTCTGCAAGGGTATAAAAAGAACTGCATTCAGATTACATTCAAAGAGTATAAAAGAAGTACAAAAAAATAATAATAATATAATAAAATAGTAACAATTAACAGAAATATAAAATACTACACTAAGATTAAAATACTAAATAAACAAAATAGCCAAGTATGGCGATCATCCAAGTCGCAACTGCTCTTCACATCTTTAAATATGATATACCGGTTGTCCCACTTCAGCAAGGTGTGGTATAGCGTATAATTGACAAGACCACCGAAGAAACATCAGTGGTCACCGACACCAAAACCGCATCGCTGATATGCCACTACCTGGAAACTGCTACAAGCATTACAAGAACCTGCCTATTATACGTGCTGGCACTACCCAAAGTCGTGGACACCAAATACAAGTTGATGCTTCTTTACCCCACGACTACGGAGGGCAAACAAGTGGTGCTGGAATACAACAAGCTGGCGATGGACCCCCAGGAAACCTATGCAGTATTGGGAAAATGTCTCTCCATCGGAAATACGACTGTGTGCCAGTAAGAAAACTTAAGGAAACTCGATCAGACCAGCTGTATCCCCAGGCTCCTAAAATGAGGGCACGCTTTCTGCGGCCCTGAAGATTTTTGTGCTTGGTCTGAAATATTGATTTGGTCTTTGGAGCATTCTCAGCAAGTTTGGCATCACGAATACGTAGATCACTTGCTACACCTGCATTGGCTTGTTCAGCTATGCTATAATTTCTCGAACTTAATTTTAAGGTCTTGAGTATTAATGCATAATTATTGTAGAAACGATTTAAATAGGCGTTAGATTCCTTTCTGAGGGTCAACAGCGTCGAAGGCGAGGGAGAGGGGACATCTGAATCTCGCACTTTCCGTTTCAGATCAGCTGGATTCACATGGATTTTTGTAAAATAACTTTAAATGAAATGAAATAATCGCTGTTTTACAATGCTTGGCGAAATAGAGGTTAACTGCTTATTAGTTAAATATAATCTGGCAGCGTTGATCTCTAGTCTTTTTCACTGAACTGAATTGGAGCTTTTAAAAAGTAACAAGTACTTTACGTGGCGTCAGATTTTACAATATACAATAATTCTTACAAATTTGAGAGTACGGATTTTGTTGACGTGTTCCCTATTCGCTCTTTTAATTGTTTAAATGACTTCAGAATCTTTAAATCAAACAGATGATCTGACACCTTAAATGTTTACTCTATAAATAATTCTTGCCCTTAATTTTTTTTCCTTGACTTCTTCTGACGAAGAACTTTCGCTTCCAATTCAGTCTTCGACGTCACACCGCAGGCTGAGTCCACATGTTCCCACACTAGCACTGCTGAAGCCCAGCTGTCGAATTTTCGAACCCCACTCGAGGACAGTAACTACTTTCTATTGCCGCTCCCGCTTGCCACTCCTACTGGTGATTGATTCCGCTCTGCTTATAACTATTTTAAACTATTTAAAAGACTCCCATCTGTTTGAATCGATTTGCTAGTATGGAAGGAAAGTAAGGAAATGAAGGCAGCTCTGACTAAATTTGAGGCTACTCTGGCCCTGTAGCTTGGCGAGAAGGTCGATGTTAAAAATGATGTAAAGAAAGTTAGTGACAAGGTGGTGAGCCTGGAGGAGGCTCGGGAAAATGTTACCGAGGTTGCTCCCCAACCGAAGCCTTTGACTCCCGCCCGCACGGAGTATGAATTAAAAGAGATTGCTAGATTTCCGGATTGTCTAAAAAAACTGCAGGTCTTTGAGGGCGAAGCTGGTGGCTACGACTCTTGGATGGGTAGAGCGGAAACCATTCTTAAAGAATACGAGATAATGTCACTTACTCTAGTAAGTTTTCATCCTCTAAGCCTTACCGTCAGAAGTACTCTCCAATTCCAACTACTCTTTTTATAATAACCATACTGGTATTGGTTACGTAGGCAGGAATTCTCAGTCCCCACAAAGATATTCAAGTCCCCGAGTGATAAAAATGGAGCCCCACCAGTCTGGCCACTCCTATCGTTCAAACCAGGGTAACAATAATTGATGGGTTAAACGGAAATCCCAAAGATTGTACCAATTAACTGCTGTCCCATCCTCGAATGAGGCTGCTTTAAACCAGCATGAGTGAAAAATCCGTCGGTGAGTCTGACTATGATCACTAACCATATGAGATATAGAGCAGCCCAATTCAAGCGCAGGGCAACCTTCTTCAAAATGCGCGTCTCTGCGACTGAACGACCGAACTCGAGTAATGAGCGCTCGAGCGTCAAAATGAGAATAAGAATGAGAGCGAAAAAACCCGAAGGCCCACAAAGTGTCCGGGGCCTGCCGCTACCAGCTGTGGGGTTCCCCGCTTTGAAACTTTTGTGACCATTTTCGTTGTATGAAATGACCAGTCTATATGTTGTATGATTAGTGCTATGATGAAGCCTTACCAGACAATCAGGCTGGTCACCAACCTCACATGGAGGCTGGTTGTACTGGCGCAGTAAATTTTATGGCCGACGCCTCTCTAGCGTGAAAGATGGGGCTAAGCTACAGTTTATAATAGACACTGGGGCGAATAAGAACTTTATTAGCCGCCAGATAGCCAAGGGATGCTTGCCCTTGTCGAAACCCTTCCCCGTTCAATCCGCTAGAGGGGAGATAAGAATAACACATCAAATAACCGGACCATTCTTCAGCCCCATAGGCAATGACTCTCCGGTCACCTTCTTCGTTCTTCCCGGTTTAACTGCCTTCCATGGCATTATTGGGGACAAAGTGTCGTCCCTTAAAGCAATTATTGATAGAAAAAAAGATTCTTTAAGAATAGCACCAGGAGTAAAAATTCCGCTACTTGCCATGCCTTCCTTGAATAATCGATAGTTAATCGATAATCGATAGCGAACACCCAGTAGAAGCGAGGGAATGCCTCGAATCCCTTATTTCTGAATTCTCCACTATTTTTGAGCCACTCTCGCCAGGCGAGGCCGTGTTCGAGCTTCAAAAAGCTACCCTTACCCCGCGAACATGAGAGGAGAAGTGGAAAATCAGGTCGACGAGCTCCTGCGCGAGGGAAGCACCTCCAAGAGCACCTACAATTCCCCGGTATGGGTAGTCCCGAAAAAGCCCAAGCCCAAGGGGGAAAAGCAATACCAAATGATGATAGATTTTTAAGAGTCTCAACGCAGTCACCATCTCCGACACCTATCCAATCCCTGAAATAACATCTACCTTGTCCAGTCTGGGGGAAGCCAAACTATTTACCACTTTTGACTTAACGTTGGGTTCCTACCCAAAACTGCATTCTCTACCCTGAACGGGAAATACGAGTTTCTGCGCCTGCCATTCGGGTTGAAGAATGTCCCGGCTGTTTTCCAAAGAATGATCGACGACGTATTGCGAAAGCACATTGGAAAATTATTGTCTTTAGTAAAGACTACGAGTCTCACTGGTGTAACCTTCGCGCCGTATTTGAAAAATTGAGACAGGCCAAGTTGCAAGTGAATTTGGAAAAGACGCAGTTTCTGCGCACCCGGGTCGAATTTTTGGGTTATGTGTAGTGACGGCGGTAACAAAGGTAAAAACCATAAAAGAAATGCCTCCACCCACAAATTTGAAGGAACATAAGTTTCCTAGGAATGACCTCTTATTATAGAAAATTTATCTGCGATTACGCTAAAACGCTAAACCTCTGACGACCCTCAGGTCACGGAATCTCGATCCAAGAATATTTCAATTTCGCTTGGCGAAGAAGGCGTGAAAGCCTTCGACGACCAAAAATAAAACCCATAAAAAATCCCAACTTCCTAACTTTAAAAACACCAATGTTATGGCATTTCCGATCGTTCAGTTATATGGCAGCATTATGATATAGTGGCCCGATCCGGCTCGTTCCGACTTATATACTACCTGCAATAGAAAGACAACTTTTGGGAAAGTTTCAAGCAGATAGCTTTAAAACTGAGGGACTAGTTTGCGAAGAAACGGACGGACGGACAGACGGACAGACGGACATGGCTAGATCGACTCTCCTGGTGATGCTGATCAAGAATATATATACTTTATAGGGTCGGAAATGTCTCCTTCACTGCGTTGCAAGCTTTTGACTGAAATTATAATACCCTCTGCAAGGGTATAAAAAGAACTGCATTCAGATTACATTCAAAGAGTATAAAAGAAGCACAAAAAAATAATAATAATATAATAAAATAGTAACAATTAACAGAAATATAAAATACTACACTAAGATTAAAATACTAAATAAACAAAATAGCCAAGTATGGCGATCATCCAAGTCGCAACTGCTCTACACATCTTTAAATATGATATACCGGTTGTCCCACTTCAGCAAGGTGTGGTATAGCGTATAATTGACAAGACCACCGAAGAAACATCAATGGTCACCGACACCAAAACCGCATCGCTGATATGCCACTACCTGGAAACTGCTACAAGCATTACAAGAACCTGCCTATTATACGTGCTGGCACTACCCAAAGTCGTGGACACCAAATACAAGTTGATGCTTCTTTACCCCACGATTACGGAGGGCAAACAAGTGGTGCTGGAATACAACAAGCTGGCGATGGACCCCCAGGAAACCTACGCAGTATTGGGAACTGTCTCGGAAATACGACTGTGTGCCAGTTGTGATGGTCAGCTTTGTTTGTGTACGGCTTAAGTCATATACATATGTAGTTTTGAGAGTCACTTTGTTTGTCTTATCTTATCTCTAAAACAAAAGCTCAAAAGATAAAGCCACGCTTGTGTAAAAGAACTTTGGTTAGCTGATTTATCTTAGTCAGCAATACTATCTATTTTTTTTTGGAAGTAAGCTTATCCTACGCCCACGCGGTTTATGGAAAGCATGTGCATTTAGTTGGTCAGAGTCTCTCAAATAAATCAGATCGTTCTTGGAGTAAATTAAAGTCGTACACTTAAAACACGTGATAATTTTTGCACATTCCAAATAAATATAAAAAGGCAATTTTATTCAAAGTGCGTTACAAAAATATTAAGTGCATAATAGAAAACCGATCAAGAGACGTAGGAAGAACCTAACTTGGCAAAACATATACATGTGCAGGTAAAATTTGTCACGAAAAATATCAATACATGTGACTGAAATAAAACATAAAGTTTTAGGATTTGTGGTTGGATTTAAATCCACCAATTAATGAAACTGCACCTTCTGACGAAGCACCACAAAATAATTTAGCTGCTAAGCTGGCCAAGCGAGGTTCAACCTGATCAACTAAAAACTCACAGCAGCGCAGCGTAAAGGAAATAACTTGGATGAGAATTAAAACTATATATACTGGACGAATAAACAACGAAGAGCATGCTACCACAGATATTTTTTTAATTAATAATTTTTTATATTTATATAACCTAACCTTAACCATTAAAGTTACAGCCACTCAGCTACAGGCCTGCATGCACACGTGGATTTAAAAAGGTAACAAGTAAAAACAAAACAAAAAAAATAAATAAAATGTAATAAGATTATTATGCATATATATATATAAGAAATTTAAAAAACAAAAAAAATTAATGGTAGTCAAGTAAAAAATGAAAAGTCAATTTCTATAGTTTTATAGTTTTGTTCAATGGAAAATTATATATAATCAAATTAATTATTTAAACACTATTTAACCTTTCAATAAATTAAGAATACATATATTAGGATAAGCCTTCTCTCAAGAAATTAAAAATTTGTTAATAATTAGAAAAGAGATAAGATATTGAAATGAACGTTATTATTTTTATATACATATTTATTGCTATTAAGAACAAGAATTATATTTGAATGTTAACATGGAATTGAAACTGAACTAATTTAATATAATGGGGTACTAAAAGAAAAAAAAACACACATCAAATCACTTAAGGGTTTACACTCCAAATTTAAAGCATTGCAAAGTGTTAACAAGGTTGGGCGGGTAATATAGAGCACTTACACCAAGCTCATAAAAAACGAGGACGGAAGCTAACTTCGGCAAGCCGAAGTTTTAATACCCTTGCAGACTTTGCCGAAATTGCTAAAACTGAAAAAGTAGCGAAAGGAATAAGGTATACATAAATAAACTAGATTTGCATCGTTTAATGTCAATTGCTTTTATACTGCAAAAATGTCATATAAAAATAGAAAAAAAGGGATACTTTCGCAGCCTTTAACTATTTTTCCTAACGGAAGCTATAAGAAATAGACGTCCGATCGGCAAGCGCTTTTACCCTAATCCAGATATGCGTAAATAAATAAGACTTTGAAAAATGTATGTCAATAGCTTATACACTGCGCGAAATATTCTAAAAAACATGAAATTTTTACCGATTTCACCGTATTGTTCCTATGGGAGCTATAGGATATAGACGTCCGATCAGCACGCGCTTTTACCTTGATGAAGGAATGCATAAAAAAATACGATTTGAAAAAATGTACAGCAATAGCTTTTACACATCGCGAAATATTCTGAAAAACATCAAATTTGGACCGATTTTACCCTATTGTTCCTATGGGAGCTATAGGATATAGACGTCCGATCGTCACGCGCTTTTACCCTGATCAAGGTACGCATAAAAAAATAAGATTTGGAAAGATTTATGTCAATAGCTTTTTACACTGCGCGAAATATCCTAAAAATCATTAAATTTTAACCGATTTTACCCTGTTGTTCCTATGGGAGCTATAGGATATAGACGTCCGATCGCCACGCGCTTTTACCCTGATCAAGGTATGCATAAAAAATACGATTTGTAAAGATTAATGTCAATAGCTTTTACACTGCGCGAAATATCATAAATTCTTGCAAGATATATCCAATTGTTCCTATGGGAGCTATAGGATATAGACGTCCGATCGGGGCGATTTTCAAACTTGATCTGCGTACACATGTTTTAGGACGATTGTGAAAGTTTCAGATCGCTTAGCTTTTAAACTGAGCTCGCAAACGGTATTGAAACAGACGGACAGACGGACAGACGGACAGACGGACAGACGGACAGACGGACAGACGGACATGGCTATATCGACTCCCCTATTGATCCTGATCAAGAATATATATACTTTATGGGGTCGGAAACGTCTCCTTCACTGCGTTACAAACTTCTGACCAAAATTATAATACCCTCTGCAAGGGTATAAAAATAAAATAAAACAATACGCATAAACATAACTAAAATTGTAACATCTGGCTAGGTTAGCACATTCTCTTGTAATTTCGTTAGCTAGTTTTGATAAAAGATCCCCCCCAATCCGACGAAGTCTTAGCCGAAAACGTCCCAGTGCTAACCGCTCTTAAATCAAAAATCTAGTTAAAAGGCAACTATTGTTGCCACGAGAATCATTACAAAAGTGGCGCCCAAAGTGTAGGCAAAGAACAAACAAAGGCATTAAAATTAATAAAGAACATTTTTGAATTTAACACCAACATCCGTTAAGCCTTATTCGTTCAAAGCTATGTCTAAGCAATTAAAATCATTGTTGGAGAAACCTCTGGAATACAGCTGATGTATGCGTAAACAATTGTTTTATGAGCTAAAATAAGAATTTTGTGATAGGGATGTAACATTGCCTGTGGATTTATTTAAGGTTATTATGCTAGTCATTAACTTTACTGCCCAGAACAATTTTCCTTTTGCATTGGCGAACCGTCCTTATTTAAATAATTGTGGGAAAAGTTTAAGTTTTGCGTATATAAAAAAAAAATGATGTGTTTTGTTTTTTTATTAATACCCCTGAAAGAAAGAAACTTTTGAGAATTCGTCACTGTAAGTGAAATAAATTAGAGCAAAATGTCAGTGAGACACAGTTTAGATCGGCCAAGTATGACAAACAATGAAAGTAGTTGTGAAATATGTTCTCAGCCAATGACGCAATTAGATATGAGATTAATTACTAGATGTATGCATACTTTTCACAGATTGTGTATATTGAATTGGCTTGATAGTTCTCGTATATGCCCGGTTTGTAACCATAACGTAACACGAAATAGTCTTATGGAAGTCGTTCCAAGAGAAGGTTTAGAGCAAAACAGGGAAACCGATTCCAACGGAAGATTGTTATTATCGAGCGGACAAAAGAAGAAAAAGAAAAGAGTACCCGAGTCAGAGGTAACAGCCGCTAATAACGACCAAGTTACACCTAGAGACGAAAATATAGAAAATTCTTATAATTCTGAGGATAATAGGTATTCGAATTCAGTAGAGCAAAGAATAGTAAATCAGATAGAACGTCGAGTTAATTCACAACTTGACCAAATGAATTTAACTATTGAAGGGCTTTCACGACAAATTTCTAGAATGACAACAGATCAGATCAATCGAAGATCAATTGAAACTGCAGCTAATATTGAACCAGAGTGGGGTAGAAGTATAACTCCTGTAGGATTAAATGGAGAAGCTCCTCCTTTCTTTCCAAGTGTTTCTCAAGGCCAAAATAGTCAAGAAAGAATGAGCAGAAGTAATAGCATCAGTGCAGATATTGGAAAAATAGTAAATGTTATAAGTGGTTGGAAATTACAGTATAATGGTTCTAGAAATGGTATGTCTGTTGGAAAATTTATTTATATGGTGACTGCCTTGACAAATGATTGTTTGGATGGTAAATTTGAAATTTTGTGCGATCATATCCACATACTTTTTAGTGGGAGAGCGAGTGAATGGTTCTGGAGGTATAGGCGTACGGTTGACAAAGTAGTATGGAAAAGTCTCTGCAGCTCTCTTAGTTCTTATTTTCACGATCCATTGTCAGATGACGACTTAAGAGAATTAATAAGGGATAGAAAGCAACAACCCAATGAGAGTTTTGATGAATTCCATAATGCAATTATGTTGTTGGTAGATCGGTTACAATATCCAATAAGCGAAAGTCAATTAGTTTCAGTACTTAAACGTAACCTAAGACCTTTTCTGCGAAAAGAGCTTTTCTATTTGGAAATAAATTCTTTAGGTAACTTACGAAATCTTGTAACACGAAGAGAAGCTTTTAGTGAGGAATTTAACAATATTTATAATACAAAGATTAATCGAAAAGTAAATGAAATATGTATAGACGATCGAAGTATGAACGATTATTTAATGGAAAATGAAATTTGTGAAATAAAAGGAGATAAAGCTGATGATATGAAAATACTGTGTTGGAATTGTAGAAAATATGGACATAAATTCATAGATTGTCAATTTGAAAGAAAAATATTTTGTATGGGATGTGGCACAGAAAATGTGAAACGACCAAATTGCGAGTTATGTCAGAAAAACAGAAGGTCGAATGGATATGACAACACCATCTATCGTTCCAATCCAAAAAACTGATTAATTTGGATGACTTAACTCATCCATCGCCAAAATATGTTAAAAATATAAATATAGGACAGAATGACGTTAAAGGAAAATTATATCCTATAATACCATATCATGTTCGATTAAGAAATTATATTAGAGTCCGTAACAAAATCTTTAACCAGATTAAAGAAATTGGAATTGATGTTAGGAACAGACCTAAGCGAAACTCTTTACGATTGCGTAATTTTTTTAAAAAATTAAAGATAAATCGCAAAGATTGACGGTTAGTTTAGATGCAATGCTTAGCAAAGACAAAGATGTTAGACCATTTGTAGAAGTGAGAATTTTTGGTAAAATTTATGGCGGATTATTAGATTCCGGTGCATCTGTCTCGTGTTTAAGTGGACAAGCAGCCAAGGAATATTTAAACAAAAATAAGGATTTTAAAGTTAGCAATTCACTAGAAGAACCTGCTGGAGGTCAAAAATATAATGTTCTTGGAACTGTTGAAACCGAAGTTACATTTCGTAATCAGTCTAAATTGGTAACGCTTTATATAATACCTGAACTGAAACAAGATCTTTATTTGGGAATTGACTTTTGGTACATCTTTTTCTTTAATGAGTCAACTAAACCAGTCAATATACGTTAGCGAACTGAATTTACCAGACACTCTGAGTGGTGAACAAAAACAGCAAATGACGAAAGTAATATCATTGTTTCCAGATTTCAACAGGGATGGCTTAGGAAAAACATCTATTTTAGAGCATGCCATTGAAATTATTCCCGAAGCAAAACCTATTAAGCAAAGATATTTTTCGGTATCTCCTGCGATAGAGAAAAAATACACGCAGAAATTGATGAGATGATCAAATTAGGAGTGATAGAAACCGCACCTCCGACTTGTTCATGGAGTAGTCCTGTAGCTGTAGTACAGAAAGGAGAAAAGTTTCGAATATGCCTTGACTCTCGCAAATTGAACGCAGTAACTATTAAAGATGCGTATCCATAACCAAAAATTAATGGAATTCTTTCAAGATTACCCAAAGCTAAATTTATAACTTCTTTAGATCTTAAACATGCATTTTGGCAAATAGGTTTGAAGGAATCTTGTAGAGATTTAACTGCATTTACTGTGCCAAACCGACCTTTGTACAGATTCAAGGTAATGCCTTTTGGTTTAACCAATGCAGCTCAAACAATGTGTC